CACTATTCCATTCAAAAGCTCTTTTTAAAATTTATATTATAGAAATTATTACTTTCATTTAGCAAGGATGTTTTAAATTGATCAAAAGTGATGATAAAGACATTTATAATGTTACAAAAGATTTCTATTTCCGATAAATGCTGTTCTTCTGAACTTTCTATTCATCAAAGAAACCTGAAAAAATCTACTCAGCTGTTTTCAACATCATAATAAATGTTTTTTTAGCAGCAAATCAGAATATTAGAATGATTTCTGAAGGATCATGTGACTGGAGTAATGATGCTAAAGCTCTGCTTTGAAATCACAGGAATAATCAAATAGAAAGCAGTTATTTTAAATAGTAAAAATATTTCAAAATGTTACTGTTTTTGCTGTATTTTGAATCAAATAAATGCAGGCTTGGTGAGCAGAAGAGAATTCTTTAAAAAACATTAAAAATCTTACTGTTCAAAAACTTTTGACTGGTATGTTAGCCTATAGTTTGAAGTAAAAATTATTAATATTAATAAGGAGAGTCTGAGATTTATTTGACAGTGATTTCACATTTCTTGTTTGTATGAAGGCTAAATACCAATAATAAAACAACAAAAAGATATCACTCACTGCTCATGACTGATGAACTTTAATACAATTGCTTTAAAAAATTATAATTGATGTATATACTGTAGTGTATATAGTGTTTTATTTTACTATTTGTTCATTCAATTTCTTAAATGTTACTGCTAAATATTGTACTTGAAAAATAAAGTTTGTTTTATTTGTAAATGATGTGTATTTGTAATGTATATCTTTGTTCTTATTTTCTAATAAGAAAGATAAAATAATGACAGATTTTTATCTTCACCCACTTTGGCCTAAATGTCTGCCATTCTTTTTTATTTTATATTTTGTTAACTTGAAAGCTTTTTTTTTTACAATAGGGAAATTAGTTTGGCTGTACTGCTCAGGCAAATTACAAAATGTAAAACCAACATGACAAAGAATCGTGATAAAATCGTGAATTGTGATATTCCTGAATAAAATGGTGATATGATATTTTTGCCATATCGCCCACCCCTAACTTGTGCTACAACTGTTTGGCCTGTGCTACAAAACTTTCAACCTCTGTAGCACCAGTGCTATGTGCAAAAAAAAGTTAACGTACAGCCCCTGCTGTATGAAGTTACAGAACGTTGTCCAGTCCAGTTCCTTTCACACAGCAGAGTTGTGTTTCTGTTAATCTGCATGTTGACATAAAGATAATCTCGTGCTGCGGTTATTTACTAGCGAATGCATTGTACATTCCGCTAACAGTATATCGATGGAACACGTGGAACATACCAACTATACAAACTGTGTGGGGGAACCTAAACCAAGCCATTCACTATATAGGCTACTACAACTAGGGCATCGCTAAAAATGAGTGTGTGAGTTTGTTTACAGAACGCTGTTGTCACTGCTGCCAACTCCCATATAAACAATTATTTAAAAAATATAATTTCCCTGCAGCCAGTGGGCCCCCTTTCCAGTGTAGGCCCCTGGGCTTCAGCCCCTTGAGGCCCGTGCATTAATGCGCCCCTGTATAAGTGTGTGTGTGTGTGTGTGTGTGTGTTTTAAATATGTATAACTCTGTAACCTACCTTGTACTTGGTGCTTCATCTTTGAACAGTATCGGTCGATCCAGTGACTGGTCACTTCTCAGAGATGTGCTGGACGGTGCAGAAGATGTTGCTTTATTTGGTCTCAGCCTTTGATACAAGAACACATTTGTTAATATTAGAAGAAAACTCTTCTTTAAAAAGGATATAAAAAAAAGGTTTTCATACCTTATACTCTTCGTTTAATTTTTCAACAGAATTAAATTAGCCTCTAAAATTATTCCAAATTTGAGTTTCACTGCACGGTGTCTGGCTGTGTAATTGTTGTGTTCATGTTAAGTACTGAATATTAACACTTGCAGTGGTGCTTTTGAAATGGTTCAGACCTTTCCGACCAGTTTTTAGGAAACAGACTGATAAAGTTGTCAAGTAAGAAAAAATTGATTAACTTTTGATACATTTTGCATTCAATTTTATGAAACATGTTGATTATCTAAAAAGTTGCTAATTTACTCAGACTCAAAAAAAATTTGTTTTATTTTTTAGTCAAAGGACATGAGTGTAAATTATACCTTTTACTCCTTCTTATACTCTGTGTACCATCTTTAAATAGTATTGGCCGATCCAGTGACTTGTCACTTGTTAGAGATTTAGATGGTGCTGGAGATGTGGCTTCATCTGGTCTTTGCCTTTGGGGGAAAGAAAAAACTGATGCTAAAATACTGTGCAAGATAAGAGGCACGCAAAGTGCATATTAAGGGTGCAAAAGATCACAAAACTCATGGTTCAGATCACATCAGATAATTTTTTGGATTAGCAAAAAAAAAAAAGAAAAAAAAATCGACAAATATAACTTTGCTTTCTATTTATTACTTAGACAGCAGCAGGTATTCACAGGCTGCCATTACTTTAAGACCTAAGGCACAGATCCAATATATCCAATATCACATACATCTGATTTCTTTCTCAACTGTGTAGTCATTTAAGACATATCTTACTCTGTTTCTGAGAATTCTTGCCAAGACGGGTATTTTAAAACAAATTTGCTTTGTTTGCGTCCATTCAAGCACAATCAGATGCAAAAGAAAACTCTATTCCGTGTTCACATGCTAAATGAAACAGTCACAGAGTGCGAATACTGAATTTATACCAAAACTTGTGCATCCCAACAGAAATTTTCAATGCTCATACCTTTCATTCCCCAGAGCTCCATCGTTAAACAGTATCGGTCGATCCAGTGACTGGTCACTTTGCAGAGATGTAGAAGAAGGTGCTGGAGATGTTATTTTATCTGGTCTCATTCTTTGGGAGAAAGAAAGAACTGATGTTGGTAACACTTTAGGAATCAATTCTCACTATGAACTAGTTGCTTGTTAGCATGCATATTACTAGCATATTGTCTGTTTATTAGCACTTATAAAGCACATATTCATGTCTTATTCTGCATGACCATATTTTAGATCCCTTAATCCAACCTCATACCTAAACTTAACTACCTTACCAACTATTAATAAGCAGCTAATCAGATGTGTATTAAGGCAAAAGTCATAGTTAATAATTAGTTAATAGTGAGAACTGGTCCCCAAATTAGTGTGATTAGGATCACACCTGAGACCTTCGTGTCCAAATTTGTCCAGGGCTGCTATACGGAGGATGTTTGAGGGTTAAATGTCATTTGCTTGATTTAAGGAAATGCCATGTAAAGATGTTTAAATGATATTTGCTTGTGTAGTACCAGCAATATTGTAAATTATTATGATGTAGAACAGGATAGATTGAGCAAAAGGTGTGATCTTAACATGTGCAACATACCGCAAATGTTTTATTTTACATTACCTACTTTGCATTGTAAACAATAAAATAAGCATTTCTATTGTTACAATTGCTTTACTTATAAATACAGACTATGCCTCAGACAAGAACAACCACAAGGGAGTCTTCTACAACATTCCTGATAAACTTCAACCTATTGGCAGGTGAGTACTTTATGGTTTAGGCTAGATTTGACTATCCTTACCCTACCTGACTAATCATAAGTTTAAAAGGTTACGCTAAAAAGACAGCAAGTGCTCGGTATACTAGGGATGAAGACAATTAACAGATTAATTGATTTCAATTATTTGTTTGAGTAATGAAATCAGTTAATTAACATTTACACATTAATTAAAAATAATAAACAATGCAGAACAATTTCCTCTAGCAAAATGAGTAAAAGTAGTATGTTATGCTTCATTATTGTGCTTCATAACTATTTAGCCTATATCACTTTCCATTTAAAGTCTGTATTCAGCACTATAGTGACCTGGACATTGGGAAAGCACAGACTGCAGATTAACTAAAAAGAAAACAGAAATCATGGACAACTGACAAGCGTGAGTCTGGAGAAACAGGTTCTGTTTCTTAATTGAACAATGTATGTGTCAAATTTTGCTTTACTGATAATTAACTATTTATGCTACATATTTGTATGTACCATACAAAGATAACTAGTAAAATAAACATATACATGCAAGGTTTAAACCAAGTTCTTTTTTTTTCTCCTAAATTATGGTAAGCATTTTGAATCATTCATCAGTGTTTTTAAAATTTAGCCAGCAAATTCTTTAAAAAAAATTGGTCTTTGTCATGTCTGTCTGATCATGCATTTTATCATGTTTATTTATGGAAGGTTAATGACGGCAGTTAATTGGTTAAGAACTTGCCAAATGCATCTACCACCCTGGCCAATTAATCAAAAAACATGAGACTATTTTGAGAACAAAGATAAGGGATTTTTGTGTGTGTGCATATAACACTTTATGTGGTAAGAAACAAATTACCAGTCATTTCGAAAACAGAGGAAAAACTGTTAAAACTTTTTGTCTAATTATAATTGTTTACATTTAAAGGGGTCCTATGATGCGATTTAAATTTTTCCTTTCTCTTTGGAGTGTTACAAGCTCTTGGTGCATAAAGAAGATCTGTAAAGTTGCAAAGACTAAAGTCTCAAATCCAAAGAGATATTCTTTATAAAATTTAAGAGTCAACCACGCCTACCTAAAACAGCTCGTTCTAACACGCCCCCACATATCTACGTCACTGTGTGGGAAGATTTGCATAACGCCGCCCAAATGTTCACGCAAAGAAAGAAGGCGTAACTTTTATTCTCGCTGTTGCCGCTGCTGCCATGTTGTGGAGACGCTGTGTGTTTCGTTGTGAAAGCGAAACTACTTTGTTTGGCTTTCCAAAAGAGGACTATATCCGCTTCGTCATGCCTAGAGCTGATCCGTGCTGGTCGCTGAGGAAATACAGCAACTTTGCGCTGTGGATCGCCGGATCGGCTTTCACCATGGACGAAGTGGAGTCCAGCCCGGGGTCGTCACATGTGGTTGCCGCAAGCCCACCGGCCGCTCCTTCGTCGAATCCACCAGCCGCGCCGTTCTCAAGCCCGCCGGCCATTCCTCACTCAAGCCCGCCCACCTCACCCACTCAAGCCGGCCGCCACTCACTCTAGCCCGCCGTGTGTGACGCTGTGTGTTTCACTGTAAAAAGTTAAACTACTTTGTTTGGCCTTCCAAAAGAGGACACGACTACGCCCACCTCACCCACTCAAGCCGGCCGCCACTCACTCTAGCCCGCCGTGTGTGACGCTGTGTGTTTCACTGTAAAAAGTTAAACTACTTTGTTTGGCCTTCCAAAAGAGGACACGACTAGAAATCAGTGGTTAAGTTGTATTTACAACACTGTTCCAGAACAGTTCAACCCAAATATTCAGATGTGTGCAGTGCATTTTATGGAGGACTGTTTCCTGATCCTGGTAGAGTAGACTACAATGCCGGCTGTTCTGACTCATAGACTGTAAGTACGTTTTAATTTTTAAAGGATTTGCCACTGATGATTCAAATGAGTTTTGAGCAGTGTAGAGTAACGCTTGTTGTTTGTCATTTCTCCGATCACAAATGCAGACATGGTTTTATGTTTACGCAACGCGTAAAAAGACAGTATAAGTCATTATAATCAGTAATTATGTCCCCACTGGATGCAATAAATGCCTCGTTTATAATGGGTTTTAATGTTTTGTCTCGTCGCTCCGGCCGGTACACGGCAATGTCTCGGCCAATCAAAAACAAACTAGATAGCTGGCCAATCAGAGCATACGTCGCTTTTCAGACCGATGAGCTTTGTAAAGATCAACACGTTTCAGAAAGGCGGGGCATAGAGAAGAAACAATAATGTACAGTATGTGGAAAATAATGTTGTTGTTTTTTTACCTTAAACCGCATAAACACATTTCATTACACCAAATACACAAAATAATGTTCTTTTTAGGAACATCATATGACCCCTTTAAATACCTTTCTTTAGTCAGGAAGCTTGGTGTTTCATCTTTGAACCAAGGTTATTATAGTCGTTTTTTTGAGTCGTTTGGGACGTGGTAACACACGGCCCTCTCACAATATATTGCTTTACAGATCTATTGCTTTTGCCACTCAGAAATGTTCACGCAATTATGTTGTACACATATCAAAAGATCTGCGCTCCGGCGCGGTTAGGGTTCCGCTCACACTACATGCGAACCGTGCTCTAGCCCACCTCTTCCAACTGATCCAGGAACGTCTAAACGAACGCATGGAGCGATCACACGAGTCAAACGAACCATGCTTCGGGGGTCAAACGCGCTCGGGCATGGTTAAGATTGCCTAGTGTGAGTACACCCTTATTCTCCCGCATCCCGCACACATGAGTCTCTACCCGCCCGCACCCGCACTCGCCCATCAAGTGTTGTCCCGCGCCACACTCTGCTGCATTGGGTCCCACGATAGTGCAGGTCTCTAAGGTGCTTGTTATCATGTTATGATCGAGACTCTGAGCATAACTTGTTTTTCTATAACAAATTATAAAATATTTTCTATAAAAACGTTAATGACCTGGCAGTGGCAAATAGCTTGTTTTATATTTAATTTGATTACATTAATGTTATACGTTGAGATTTAAAATGTCTTGTAACTGCTACTATGTAAAAGGAATACTGCTGTAAAAAAGCACCTTATTGTATTATATATTTATGTATTATAAAACACCTTACTTTATTATATAAAGTGTTTGCAAACCAAATGTTATTGCACATTTGTTCATATAGCAGTACTTTTAAAAGGAACACTCCACTAATTTTGAAAATAGGCTAATTTTCCAACTTCCCTAGAGTTCCCAACAGTTGAGTTTTACCGTTTTCGAATCCATTCAGCCGATCTCCGGGTCTGGCCGAAGCACTTTTAGCTGTAGCTTAGCATAGATCATTGAATCCGATTAGACCGTTAGCATCTCGCTCAAAAATGAACAAAGAGTTTCGATATTTTTCCTATTTAAAACTTTACTCTTCTGTAGTTACATCATGTACTAAGACCGACGGAAAATGAAAATTTGCGATTTTCAAGGCCGATATGGCTAGGAACTATACTCTCATTCCGACATAATCATCAAAGAACTTTGCTGCCGTACCATGGGTGCAGCAGGCGCAATGATATTACGCAGCGCCTGAAAATAGGCTAACTTCTGTCAACATAACCAACATGACCACCTGCTTGCACAGGGAGCGTGCTGGGGACTATTTTCAGGTGCTGCGTAATATCATTGCGCCTGCTGCACCCATGTTACGGCAGCAAAGTTCTTTGATTAAAAAAAGGGTCCAAAAAATACAAGAACAATCAACTCTAACTTGAGGACTGGCAACTGGACACACAGGAAGAATAGGCTCAAGACTGAACACAATAGCAGGGAACCAACAGACTTATAAAGGGTCAAAGGTGTGGGCAATCAAAGCTGATGAGCAGGATACTGAACATGGTACGTGGGCGATGGCGCTATCTGGAGGAGCGGAGAGACTAGAGTTCATAATACAAGCGCCATCTGCAGTTCTGGAGGGAACATGACATAAAGGGCTCAAGGAGAGTGACCCCTGCAGGCCAGGATGAAAACAGCAATGCAGAGATGAGCCCATTACAGTGATGCAACCTCTAATGCATCGATCGTCACTTATTCCTGATCATACCTTTCGCAGTGCACTTTAAACCAGAGTCCTGCACGTGGCTCCCCACGGGTTGTATTTAACCGCTAATATTTGAGTAATATATAAACGGGTTTGCGTTGCGGGTCGGGGAATCAATAAGCACGGGCGGACTGCAGGTCTGATAGCCAATATTTAGACTCAATTCGATACCCGCTGATAGGCAGCTGCCTTGAAACGGTCCCGTGCTTATTCGTGTTCATGCTCTGCAGTCTGAAGACCATCAAAGATTTCTATTTACAATTCGATTTGCAGAGTTGCGCATTATAGCCATTCGTGCTGCAGCTGAAGTGAATGACAGCTTAGGGAGCACTCTTTGCTCGATTTCTGTAGCCTAAATTATTTTATTTTATAAATTTAATTTTTAATGCTTCTAGGACCAACGGTCATGTGTACTGCAGAGTTTAAGGAGAGACAATCACATTAAACAGTAAAGGCATATTTAAATGTTCTTTTTTATTTATGAAGAATTATAAGCATGTGGTTTATGCACATTTGTTAAAAATAGCCTGGCAGATTGTTCACAAGATGAAGGCAAAAGTTTTGTATTGTTTACAGAAAGGATGCGCATTCTCATCTTTTTTTCTGTTAATTAGCCTACCATGTTGTGCTGCTTGTCTATTTTTCTTCAAAGCACCTACTTAGAATCCCTAATGTTGGTTTGATTTCTTGTGTCACATGAGAAAATAAATAATTTTGCCTACCTGATGTAGTAGATTTAATGTAAATGCGGTTCGGGTCGCGGTCAGTCAAACGGGTCAGGTACAGAATTAAATTAGTGCTGCTGTCGGATAACGGGTCGAGTGTTCTGTTAAGTACTGCTGGTGCGGGTTTACCAAACAGAACACGTGCAGGACTTTAATCTGCTTTGTGTCTCTCCATCAGATAACCTCACGTGCATGATGCACCATTTACAGGTATTTCCCTAAACCGCCACACAGCTCATATATTTTTCCGCCGTGTGGTGAGAACGTAATGATTACGAAAACGATTATTAAATTTGTAATAATTATTATTTTATTTCAGTTCGTTTTTAAATAACTGTTGTTAGTTAGTTTTTGTTTTTCATTTATTTTTAAATTTTTATTTTTATTTCAGTTTACAAAAATGTTTTTCGATCGATCGTTTTCATCTTAGTTTTCGTTTTCGTTTTACGAAAATAACCTTGCTTTGAAGAATATCGGTCGATCCAGTGACTGGTCACTTTTCAGAGATGTGCATGAAGGGGCTGGAGATGTTGTGCCTTTTGATTTCAGCCTTTGAAAAGAAGAAAAGTTTACTTTTACAGAGCAGGTAAAGAAAGAAACATTCAAACAAGTAAATATATATATATGTGTGTGTGTGTGTGTGTGTGTGTGGACCTAAAATGAACACTCGCCAAGCGCCAAATGCGAGTAAAAATCGGCGTTGGTGAGTATATGTAACAGTGTCAGTCGCCAGTTGGCGTGTACAACTTTTACGAATTGTAACAACGCAATGAAGTGAAAACAACAGCCAGTTTTTAAAGAGATTCGCTGTTTCTGACAAAAGCGAATAAAATAATATTTTCCGAAGACAAGATCATAGTGATTAGCTGTTCTGTCATAAGGTAGACTTAATGACAGATCTGATAAGGTCAGAGCAGTGTGATGGCCAGCTTGTCCCTAGACACGGTTTTAATAATTTTACCTGAGAAGATTTTGCTGCTTCATTTCGGAAGATTAACTTTTCCCTTCTTTATTCTTCATAACCCGAGAATGTGGCGACACATACCTGGGGTTACGCCGCCTAAACAGTGCAGTGAAGTATAGTTTGAAAGGTTGCGCATTCGGCTGTTACACAGATGCTGAGCCGCTTCAGACAGAGCACCAGTAACGTGTCAACGGACGAAAGCACACACAATTATGTCAAAATGCGCGGTTTTGGCAAGTTACTTTGTAAACGTAGTCTTAAGTGAGTTATAAAGTCTTAAATGACTGTAAAGAGTTGGGAGAAAATCGGATGTGTCAGATCCGCGTCATATGCATCAGGTTTTAAAGAGACAGAGCTGATTTTAAAGTGAAGCCTGCTGAAGTCTGTCATTGGTGTATATCAAAGAACAAAAGAAAAAGAGAAATCCTTGGACTGTTCTAGTCGCTGATTAACTTTTATAGCTTGAATAAAGATTAATATGTATAGTTTATGCATATATAATATAGTTTATGTGAAGATTGTTTTAAAATCACTTAAATTAAAAGTTGTTATATATTTCAGAGCCTATTAAATGTTAAAAAATCTTTCAATTTTACTGTAATGTTGAATGGCTATCATTAATAGGTAAAATTGAGGGGAAATGCACCAGCAGGACAAATTAAAAATATTGTAAATATGTTTAGTCATTGTAGTAGTAATAACTGCCTGTTCTTGCAAAAAGAGTTTCATGGCCGGTAAAAAACTATTTTGGCCGGTAAATTTGATCATGTCACCAGCCATTGGCAGGTGTGGCAAAAAGTTAGTTCTAGGCCCTGTATATGTGTGCGTGTGTGTTTTAAATATTTATTACTCTGTAACCTACCTCATACTTGGTGCTTCATCTTTGAACAGTATCGGTCGATCCAGTGACTGGTCACTTCTCAGAGATGTGCTGGACGGTGCAGGAGATGTTGCTTTATTTGGTCTCAGCCTTTGATACAAGAACACATTTGTTGATATTAGAAGAAAACGCTTCCTTAAAAAGGATTTTAAAGGGGTCATATGATGCTGCTAAAAAGAACATTATTTTATGTATTTGGTGTAGTGAAATGTGTTTATGCGGTTTAAGGTTCAAAAAACACATTTTCCACATACTGTACATTATTGTTTCTCCTCTATGCCCCGCCTTTCTGAAACGCATCGATTTTTACAAAGCTCATCGTTCTGAAAAGCGAGGTGTGCTCTGATTGGCCAGCTATCCAGTGATTGGCCGAATACCTCAAGCGTGTGACGGAAATGATACACCCCTCACCATACTGTGATGCCGTCAGGCCGGAGCAACAAGACAAAAACATTAAAACCCATTATAGATGAGGCATTTGTTGCATCCAGTGGGGACATAATTACTGATTATAATGACTTATACTGAAGTGAGAGGCGGATTCGACGAAGGAGCGGCGGGTGGGCTTGCGGCAACCACATATGATGACCCCGGGCTGGACTCCGCTTCGTCCACGGTGAAAGCCGATCCAGTGATCCACAGCGCAAAGTTGTAGTATTTCCTCAGCGACCAGCACGGATCAGCTCCAGGCATGACGAATATCATCCTCTTTTGGAAGACCAAACAAAGTAGTTTCGCTTTCACAACGAAACACACAGCGCCTTCACGACATGGCCGCGGCAACAACAATACTACAGTGAGAATAAAAGTTACGCCTTCTTTCTTTGCGTGAACATTTGGGCGACGTTATGCAAATCTTCGCACATCGTGACGTAGATATGTGGGGGCGTGTTGGAACGAGCTGTTTTAGGTAGGCGTGGTTGACTCTTAACTTTTATAAAGAATATCTCTTTGGATTTGAGACTTTAGTCTTTGCAACTTTACAGATCTTCTTTATGCACCAATAGCTTGTAACACTCCAAAGAGAAAGGAAAAATTTAAATCGCATCATATGACCCCTTTAAAAAAAAGTGTTTCATACTTTATACTCTCCGTTTACTTTTTGAACAGAATTAAATTTGCCTCTAAAATTATTCAAAATTTGAGTTTCACTGCAAGGTGTCTGGCTGTCTAATTTTGTGTTCATGTTAAGTACTGAATATTAACACTTGCAGTGGTGCTTTTGAAATGGTTCAGACCTTTCTGACCAGTTTTTAGAAAACAGACTGATAAAGTTGTCAAATAAGACAAAATGTACTAATTTACTCAGACCCAAAAAATATGTCAAAGGACATGAGTGTAAATTATACCTTTTACTCCTCCTTATAATCTGTGTACCATCTTTAAATAGTATTGGCCTATCTAGTGACTGGTCACTTTTTAGAGATGTAGAAGACGGTGCTGGAGATCTTGCTTCATCTGGTCTTAGCCTTTGGGGGAAAGAAAGAACTGATGCTTAAATACTGTGCAAGATAAGAGGCACACAATGTGCATATTAGGGGTGCAAAAGATCACAAAACTCATGAATTATATTATGATCTTTGAGGTCATTTTTCAGATCAGCAAAAACAATTTTTTTTTTTTAAATTCCAACAAAAATAACATTGCCTTCTATTTATTACTTAGAAGTCTTTAAAAAAAATACAAGCATAGATAAATACAATAGAACAAGGTTAAAGATCAGTAAAGTCTATCAGTAGTACAGGTACAAAAATGGGATAATCAAATGTGAAATAACTGCATAGTGTTCACTATCGAAATAAAATAGATTGTATTTTATTTGCATTAATGACATAGACAGCAGCAGGTATTCACAGGCTGCCATCACTTTAAGACCTAAGGCACAGATCCAATATATCCAATATCATACACATCTGATTTCTTTCTCAACTATGTACGGTCATTTAAGACATAACTGTCTCTGTTTATGAGAGTTCTTGCCAAGACGAGTATTTAAAAAAAATTTCCATTCAAGCACAAGGAGATGCAAAAGATAACTCAATTCCATGTTTGCATGCTAACTGAAACACTATCTGTAACAGTGCACGAATACTGAATTGAGTTCTCTTTCGGCTATTTTTGTGCATAACAAGTTTTTAAAGCGCTTCAATATTTTATTTGTCAAGATTTAAAAACATGCCAATGATAGAATTGAACTCTATGATCATTATACTTTGCACTTAATCCACATTTATATATGCATATATGTGTGCTGAACTGTGGGTCTGGGTCCAGACGGATCACTGAACTACACTCAACTACAATCCGTAACACCTGTAATGCATATAATGACTTCTCCAAGTTCCTAGTTTTTATCAGTACATTTATACCAAAACTTGTAACGCGTGCATCCCAACAGAAATTTTGAATGCTCATACCTTTCATTCCCCAGAGCTCCATCGTTAAACAGTATCGGTCGATCCAGTGACTGGTCACTTTGCAGAGATGTAGAAGAAGGTGCTGGAGATGTTATTTTATCTGCTCTCATTCTTTGGGAGAAAGAAAGAACTGATGTTGGTAACACTTTAGGGATCAATTCACACTATGAACTAGTTGCTTGTTAGCATGCATATCACTAGCATATTGGCTGTTTATTAGCACTTATAAAGCACATATTCATGCATTATTCTGCATGACCATATTTTAGATCCCTTAATCCAATCTCATACCTAAACTTAACAACTACCTTACCAACTATTAATAAGCAGCTAATTAAATGTTTATTAAGGCAAAAGTCATAGTTAATAATTAGTTAATAGTGAGACCTGGTCCCCAAACTAGTGTGACCCTGATGTTAAAATACTGTACAAGATAAGAGGCATGCAAACCGCATATAATCAGAAGAACCTTACCCTAGTTCCAATAACATGGTCCATTTGTTTTACTATGCAATCCCTTTCTATGAGTGTATTTATACCCAAACTTGTAAGCATCCCACCAGAAATTATAAGTGCTCACACCTTTTATTGCTAAGAAAACTCTCTGCTCCATCTTTGAACAGTATCGGACGATCTAGTGACTGGTCACTTTCTAGAGACGTGCATGAAGGGGCTGGAGATGCTGTTTGACTTTGTCTCAACCTTTGAAGGGAAGAAAGAACTGGTGCTTAACACTGTGCATGACAGACATGGAAACTTAGTACAGACTCTATAAAATTGTCTTATTTAATTTACTTATGCTACTCTTATTTAAAAGGGGTCATGAACTGCATTTTTTATTATTTTATAATGTTCTGTGAGGTTCAATTATAATGTTAGTGTGATTTTACTTTTAAAAAAACATCGTAATTTAGAATAGGCTATTTTCTATCCTGTTTTCGAGCCTCTCAGCAGAACGTTCAAGATTCAAGAGGAGCAAGTAAACACACACTGCTATGATTGGCTAACAGTTTCGCTTATTAAAATAACAGATGGACGCTGCTGTGACATACTCTGAAAATAACATGGGTCATTTGGGTTAAAAACTTATAAATACTCAATATATATCAAACAGTCTGGAACAAACAATGCAATAGTGGTAAAAGCACATTTATGTGTTGTGGCATTACTGTTGGATCCACTCTAGTCAGTCTCAGCGCTGTATCGTTTTCTTTCAGTCTCTCTGAAAAGCCTGCATCATACTGTCTTGTTTAAAAATTAATCCGTAGCAAAGTAAAGCAAACAAACAAACGGTGTTTCACTGATGCGATCTGGAGCTCTTTGCTCATTTCCCCCCATGTTTACACCGGACGCGAGTGGTGCAAGACTATCTTTCACAATTTACACTACACAGTGTCTTGCAATCTTGTAATGTCATCTGTATGGCTCTGTTGATGGAGTAATCCTGTGTTTGTGTCTCTCTAGTATTTCCTCCTACTACAAGTGTATATCAGTGGGCGGGGCTAAAGAGTCAGTGATGTAGAAGCAGGCGTTGATCTTCTCCTGCGGAGGCGGTGCTTAGCCACACTATTATGTCATAAAGTGGCACATTCCAAAACGAGTCGTTTTCTGAGCTTGGTTTCAATAAAAGCTGTTTTTAAACTAACAAGAAAGTTTTGAGTTCTGAAACTTGCAGGATGTTTTTATAGTACATTGACCTGTTATTTGTCAAAAGATCAAGGGAAATTTGTTTTCTCAGTTCATGACCCCTTTATGATCAATATGAGTTTTAAAGGTTGATTCTGATTCAATCAAAAAACAATGCATTTTTAAATATTAAGATTCAGTGAGAACAAAAGATGATGTGGTCATTGTTTTTTTTGTAGTGTTTTGAGCAATCTTGATTCCTCATAATGGCGCACTTGTATGGTTTTCCTGTTCACCAGAGTGAACTGCTGTGTTTATACAGTGTCATGAAAGCAAGTCGTGCAAAGCAGACCAACTTCTAAAGTCAAGATATTCACTAAAAATAAGTTGCAATTCAATTTGAGTTTCATTATTGTATATATTCAGAACCACCTGCCAAATATAGCGCTAGTTGTATGGGATCATTCTGTGATACTTTTGCATCCTTTTTGAACCTTGAATGTGGTCACTGTTCACTGCCATTACATAGATTGTGAGCATTTTGTTTTTTAAATTTCTCCTTTTGTGGTGAGAAAAAGTCAAGAATACTGCATTAGAACAACACCAGGGTAAGTAAATAGCATTTGTCCATCAAATTAGCACACCAGGAAAATCTGCTGGGTAAACCAGTACATGCATAATAAGGACCCAAACTCTTATTCCTTATATACCTTTCATTGCTCTGAGTTCCATTTTTGAACAGTATCGGTCGATCCAGTGACTGGTCACTTTGTAGAGATGTACAAGAGGGCGCTGGAGACGTTCCTTTATCTGGTCTCGACCTTTGAAACAATGAAGAAAAAAGTGAGTGTGTTCTTACGTTCCAAAACAAATAACCCTAACGAAAACAAATAACTTATAATTCATGTCATTTGCTGCATGAAAATGAAATTTGCATCGGTAACTTTAATAACATATTTGCTTTCAAACATTAAAGCATAATTCATAGAGTAATATTTAATATACAGTAACAACAAGACATTTGACTGTTTTCAAAGCTTTTCTGTGTGTTCCATGTTCCAAAGAAAAGTATGTGAGTGTTGTGGAGCAGAAACCAAGTGATAAGTGTTTTTTGTTGTGGTTGTTGTTGTTTTAAAATGTTTATTTAGTACAATTTAGTACAACAGCACAAATGCAAGTGGAATATTGCATTCTTATAGTAAATTATTTAAATGTAAATTACCTGAAAAACTATAAATTACAAAACCAAGACAAGGAAATATATTGAGAAAATGTATGCAAGTACCACACCTTTTATTCCCCTTTTTACACTCTGCTCCATCTTTGAACAATATTGGTCGATCCAGTGACTGGTCACTTTGTAGAGATGTACAAGAGGGCGCTGGAGACGTTCCTTTATCTGGTCTCGACCTTTGAAACAATGAAGGAAAAAAGGGAGTGTGTTCTTACGTTCAAAAACAAATAACCCTAACGAAAACAAATAACTTCTAATTCATGTAATTTGCTGCATGAAAATGAAATTTGCATCGGTAACTTTAATAACATATTTGCTTTCAAACATTAAAGCATCATTCATAGAGTAATATTTAATATACAGTAACAACACTAAGACATTTGACTGTTTTCAAAGCTTTTCTGTGTGTTCCATGTTCCAAAGAAAAGTATGTGAGTGTTGTGGAGCAGAAACCAAGTGATAAGTGTTTTTTGTTGTTGTTGTTTTAAAATGTTTATTTAGTACAATTTAGTACAACAGCACAAATGCAAGTGGAATATTGCATACTTATAGTAAATTATTTACATTCAAATTACCTGAAAAACTATAAATTAAAAAACCAAGACAAGGAAATATATTGAGAAAATGTATGCAAGTACCACACCTTTCATTCCCCTTTTTACGCTCTGCTCCATTTTTGAACAATATTGGTCGATCCAGTGACTGGTCACTTTGTAGAGACGTAACTGAAGGTGCTGGAGATGTTGACTGACCTTGTCTCAACCTTTGGTGGGGGAAGGCTTTTTCAATAATCATTTTAATACTAACACTTTTCATTTATGTGCATTTATACCTAATATTTAAGGGTTTGGAGAAAAATGGTTAAAAGAACAAGAACATGACATTTTTCCATTCTGGTCATAAATTGACAGGAGTTTGGCACTCCAGTTCTAAATTAGCATACCTTTCTATCACCAATCCATCTTTGAACAGTATCGGTCGATCCAGTGACTGGTCACTTTGTAGAGATGTGATTGAAGGTGATGGAGATGTTGCTTTATCTGGTCTTAATCTTCAAATGAAGCAGAAAAGTAGTCAATGATCAATTATTTTTAAAAAAGAAAAGAAAAGAAAAAAAGACCATGGACTGTGATGACTTAGTTTTTTTTTTATTACACAACTTACACAAGACCTACAGACAAATAAAGAAACTGTAATACATCATAAAACTGCAATATTTTACCGTTCACACTCCATCGTCCCCACATCATCTTCCTCTTCAAGTGTGTCCATAGCCTCATTTAGCAGATTGACCAGTGTGTTTTTTTAAAGCATTTTTATTATTGAGTGTATTAAAATTAACACTACTGATTAAATATTCTGCATGAAAATAATAAATGTGGGTATAAAATAATAGGTGTGGACAGAAATGCGGATGGTGAGTAAATGACAAAAAATAAGCTTAAGACTGTTCATTTGTGTTTATTTTTATTGAGTAAATTTATAGATAGACCGCCTGTAATTAAAAACTGTGACCACCGCTAGGTGGTCTTGTGTAGGATGTACAAAATCTGCAACGATCCTTATAAACATTTACATTATAATAGGGTATAGTTATCTTTAATATAGAAAATATTTGAATGTGAATAATTGAAAAGAACATTTTGATCATATTTTAGACCTTTATTTTTAAAGAGACATTCACTTTATATTTGTATTTTTTTTTTATTACACAACTTACACAAGACCTACAGACAAATAAAGAAACTGTAATACATCATAAAACTGCAATATTTTACCGTTCACACTCCATCGTCCCCACATCATCTTCCTCTTCAAGTGTGTCCATAGCCTCATTTAGCAGTTATCTCAAGCGTACACTCTTTTGAGGAAAAACAAATAACATATAAAACAACTCAAATTCTAAAAACAATCAAATAGAGGAAAATTGAGTTAGATGAGCCAGTGATTAAGTGATTAGGAATCACAATTTTTGCTTCTAGACCACAAATTCAAGATTGTGAATCAGCACAGAACACGTGGTAATGGTCCATGCTTCTGTAAATGTTAACATCAAATAGCACATCACATCGGCTATTTTTCTTTGAAAAATCAGAGGGAGTACTGCAAAAATAAACCCACCTTTGCTTTGCAGAAAAGATCTACTGCACAAACGTATGCTTGTGTTTCCTCGCCTTGATGACAATCTAACTGAAAACTACCTCATCTTATTATACTCTCTCCTATCAGGGACATTAAATCCCCACAGCATACTTAAATGTAAACATTAAAAGCCACAACCTTTTAATAAGCTTTAAAAAGCTATCTTCAAGACTTCCTGTTTACGTACCTTATGAGGCTCCATGGCCTTGCCGTCGAGCCAACCACTGGACAAATGTATCGAAATGTGAAAAACAAACGGTCAATAAACTGCTAAAAGTCTTGTTCCAACTGACAAAATACTAATATGATAACCTTTGAATACGTTTGACTGAAATACTGATACGAGCTTTTAGTTAACATTAGGCCTAACGTTATAAGTTACTTTCACTTTCGCTTACGCGTGGTCATTTTGTTCAGAAGTGCTAAATATCACAGTTCTATATATTTTCTGTCGTCTGGTGACTGGTCTTCATTTAATAAAGTGAAATATGACAGTAGGTCCCGATGGTCTGAACTTATCGTTTATCTTTTCCTCCTAACGTTACCTATTCTCGAAAAGATCGCTGTGAACCCAGAGTGTGGCGTCGAATAATAATAAGGAGTTCGCTTTCTGCGTAGTGCGTCAGGCATCACGTGACTAAAAAGGACCTCAACAGCCTTCGCATTAAATTGAATTTAATATAAAACATTCAATTAATTATTTAAACCGTTTTAAATACTGTGTATAGGCACGTATATTCAATATTTATAGAAGAATGTGTTTGAGTGATCTTATAAATATTTTTTTCTTTCACACTGCCTTATTTTTTAATAGACTTAAAACTGCTTTGGTTGACTTGAGTTGTTTTTCCAATGCAACTCTGGTCTCTGCATGCCCGAATGTTCAATGTACACTAATTAAACACGGCAAAGTCATGCAGCATATCTGTAACTAATCATCAAGAATTATACAATAAACGTGCAGAAATCATTTTAAATTAGAATTTTGGAAAATCTCTTTTAATTATTGAAAAATTATGAATTATTGATAAATAGACAAACAATTGAATAAATAAATAAATATTTTTCATTTTTCCTTTTGTCCAGCAGATGCCAGCAACCTTGCCACTATGCTTTTTTTTCGCATGCTTGACTTTTGTTGTTGTTGTTGTTGTTAAAAGTAGTGTTATTCAATTTCTATCATGAAAAAATTGACCAGTGTGTTTTTTTACAGTAATGCGGATGGTTAGTAAATGACAAAAAATAAGCTTAAGACTGTTCATTTGTGTTTATTTTTATTGAGTAAATTTATAGATAGACCGCCTGTAATTAAAAACTGTGACCACCGCTAGGTGGTCTTGTGTAGGATGTACAAAATCTGCAACGATCCTTATAAACATTTACATTATAATAGGGTATAGTTATCTTTAATATAGAAAATATTTGAATGTGAATAATTGAAAAGAACATTTTGATCATATTTTAGACCTTTATTTTTAAAGAGACATTCACTTTATATTTGTATAACTACGTACAGAAAACCCATATGACATTTAACCAATAAACACCAAAACAAAGAGAAAAGTTTTTCATTTTATTTATAGAACAATAATATACCCATTATATAAAACACACAAAAAGGTAATTACTACAGTACAGTACTAACCAAATATATAATAATTAAATCAATATACTTTAAATAATTATAGATTAAACAACAACAATAATAATAAATTCTAAAGTTGTGGAGAACACAGGAAAAACAAGAAAAATGTGTGTTTTAAATTAAATAAGTATGTAAAATTACAGTATAGTAACAGTTATTAACATTTAGTGTTTACAAATCTGAGCAAGGTAAAATAACAAAGCATGCACACTAAAACATAACGTAAACAAGGCCAATACTTCTGGTATTTTAATGAACAAATGGAAATATAAAATTATGCATTAAGCAGACTTTTTTACATTTTACAATCCTGAGTCAACATGGCATTCTAAAGTACAAAAAACCCCCAGAAAGACAAATAAGGCAAGAACATACCCCAGTGGTTTCAGTGTGTGACAGACATCCATAACAAACAAGATACAGAGTTATATTTTTATGATACAATAATTACAATTCAAAATCAGGAAACCAGTCACTTTCCCTTTTCTGCTGCCCATCTCCTCCTTTCAGTCTCATAAAAGGAAGACTGGCAGAACTCTCCCAAGTCATCTCGTGAGTCATCCTCTCTGTCCGATATAGGGAAAACACATGGCAGGACAATAGACACATTTCCCTGCCACACCAGGGAACCCAATATGTGTGTGTGAACTCTCTGGGCCTTGTTTGTGTGGCTTGTGGCAGAACCTACAGAGACGACCAGTGGGATGCTGCTCCATGGCCTCTCTCTTTCTCCGCTCCTCCATTACCTGTCTTACCTCTGCAGAACACTGCTTTGTGGCCTGTAGCTCTCGTTTAAAAAAAGGTGTTTCAGCAAAGTCAGCAAACGGCATTCGAGGATTGGTGAGGCCTTCCGCTGCATACATCTGGTATACCTTTGTAGAGCAGTAAAAGTACTTCACGCTCCCAGACTGATAAAAAAAATGAATGGAGGAGCCATCACCAAGGTAACGTGACTTTGGCTGGCCACAAGCAAGACAGTTCCGTGTCCTCTTTGTAAC